AAAGTGACAGTGACTTTGTGCCTTTAGTTTGTAGTTCAATGTGTTTTATGAATTGGTAGTCAAACAGCAAAGATGATGACTTGCTTACCTGTCATTTTAGAGGAGAGTCAAGGAGCTGTATTATAATGGACATTACAATAATTCTGTGCCAGGAAACACTTTCATCTTACCTAAATAAATAGATTTCAGTACCTTCCAGTGGTGCTAACAACTACTGTAGTTGAATTTGTCTACTTGGAAGAATGTCCATACTCATTTAGAATCTCCCATTAAATAAAACATTTCAGCTGCTTTGAGGAGTAGCAACGAGGGAAGGATGGGGAAGCTGTTGGTTGTTAAGATGCATCTTTAAACTGATCATCCTTTGTGCTTTGGTGTTCATCTGATCTTTCATAAATGAGAGATTCAGTTTTAGGCTAGAAGTCTTTAACTTTTTTTTTTTTTTAAGTGAAACACCATGAGGTACAGTTGTAGACTTACAAACTTTTTCGTGCTTGGGTTTCAGTTATACAACGATCAAGTACCCATCCCTCCACCAAGTGCTTATTCTCCACCACCAATGAAACCCGTAGCCCTCCCCTGCCCCCACATCTGTGGCAGGGCATTCCCGTTTGCTCTCTCTTTCCTTTAGGGTGCTGTGTTTTGCAATAGAGGTATTGAGTGACCATTGTGTTCAGTCTATTGTCTACTTTCAGCATGCGTCTCTCGTCCAGAGTGAGTTCTCCAGACACCCTTTACTTGGTATTCCCTTCTCTGTCTGAGCTGCCTTTTCCCCCAGCATGTGCTACCAGCTTCCAAGCCATGGAGCAGACCTCCTGGTACTTATCTCAACTATTCTTGGGTGTTCGTCTCCCATTCTGTTATTTTATGTTCCCCAGATAAGTGCAGTCTTTGTATGTCTGTCCCTCTCTTTGTGACTCATTTCACTTAGCATGATACTTTTTCCATGTAGAACCACTTGTTTGCAAATTTCATGACTTCATCAGTTCTAACAGCTGCATTGTATAGATGTACCAAAGTTTCTTTAACCAATCATCTGTTCTCAGGCGCTCAGGTTTTTTTCAGATCTTGGCTATTGTGAACAGTGCAGCAATGAACATACAAGTGCAGGTGTCATTTAGGCCATACTTTTTTTTTGCCTCTCTGGAATATATTCCCAGGAGTGGTATTGCTGGGTGAAATGGGAGCTCAATTTCTAATTTTTGGAGAATCGTCCACACTATTTTCCAAAAGGGCTGAACCAGTCAGCATTCCCACTAGCAGTGAAGGAGAGTCCCTTTCTCTCCATATACACGCCAAAATCAGTTGCTTTTGTTCTTTTGGATGTGGGCCAGTCTCTGTGGTGTGAAATGATATCTCATTGTTGTTTTGATCTGCATCTCCCTGATGATTAGTGATGTAGAACATTTTCTCATGTGCCTTTTAGCCATTCGGATTTCTTCTTTGACAAAGTTTCTGTTTATTTCATCACCCATCTTTTGATGGGGTTGGATGTTTTCTTCTTGTGAAGTTCAACCAGTGCTTTGTATACCCTTGATATCAACCCCTTATTGGATGGGTATTGGGCGAATATCCTTTCCCATTTTGTAGACTGTCTTTGTATTTTGGTCACTGTATCTTTTGCGGTGCAGAAACTTATTAGTTTAATATAGTCCCATTGGTTTATCTCTGTTTTCACTTGTTTGTTTAGTTGCATGCCATCTTGAAGGTACCGTTAGCCTCAATATCATAGAGAGTTTTGCCAACCTTGTCTTCAGTGTACCCTTATGGATTCTAGTCTGATGCTGAGGTCTTTAATCCATTTTTATCTGACTTTTGTGCATGGTGTTAAGTCAAGGTCTAAGCCCATATTTTTGCATGTGATTGTCCAATTATGCCAGCACCATTTGTTAAAGAGGCTTTTCTTGCTCCACTTCACATTTCTTGTTCCCTTATCAAAGATTAGATGTTCATACATTTGTGGTTGTGTGTAGGGATATTCCACCCTGTGCCATTGGTCTGCGGCTCTGCCTTTGTTCCAGAACCATGCTGTTACTGCTTTGTAGTAGAGTTTGAGGTTGGGGAGGGTGATGCCTCCCATCATCTTTTTTCCCCCCAAAATTGCTTTAGCTATTCGTGAGCGTTTGTTGTTCTAAATGAAATTTAGGAGTGCTTGATCCATTTCTTTGAAGAATTTCATAGGTATCCTTATAGGGATAGCATTGAATCTGTATAGTGCCGTGGGGAGTATTACCATTTTGACAATATTAATTCTTCCTATCCATGAGCAGGGGATATGTTTCCATTTCCTCATGTCCTCTTTTATTTTGTGGAGTAGCATTTTGTAGGTTTTTTTTTTAGGTGTCCTTTACCTCCTTAGTTAGGTTGATTCCGAGGTACTTGATTTTCTGGGGCACGATTATGGACGGGATTGCTTTTTTCATGTCTCTTTCCTCTGTCTCATTATTTGCATATAGGAGGGCCATGGATTTTTGGGTATTGATTTTGTAGCGTGCGACTTGACTTTACAAGTCTATTGTTTCTAGAAGTTTCTTGGTAAAGGCTTTAGGATTCTCTAGATACAGTATCATATCATCTGCGAATAGTGAGAGCTTGATTTCTTCCTTTCATATCTGGATGCCTTTAATATCTTTTTCTTGCCTATTTGCCATTGCAAGTACATCCAGTACTATATTGAACAAAAGTGGAGAGAGTGAGCATCTTTGTCTTGTCCCTGACCTTAGAAGGAAGGCCCTTAGTTTTTTCCCATTGAGGATAATGCTTGCCTTAGGTTTGTCCTAGATGGCTTTGACTGTCTTGAGGAAAGTTCCTTCTAAGCCCATTTTGGTGAGAGTTTTCATCATAAGCAGGTGCTGGATCTTGTCAAATGCTTTCTCTGCATCTATTGATATGATCATATGGTTTTTATCTGTACTTTTGTTGATATGATAGATTTACGTTGATTGATTTCTGAATATTAAACCATCCTTGCATCCCCGGGATCAATCCCACTTTGGTCATGGTGTATGATCTTCTTGATGAATTGTTGGATTCTATTTGCAGACGTTACTGGGCCCGCTCGAGCAATATTTTGCTGAGGATCTTCGTGTCCGTGTTCATCAGAGATACTGGCCTGTAATTTTCTTTGTTAGTGGCGTCTTTGTTTGCTTTCGATATTAAGGAGGTATGTGCCTCATAGAAACTGTTTGGGAAAGTTTCTGTTTTTTCAATTTCCTGGAAAACCTTGAGGAGAACTGGCAACAGGTCTTCTTTAAGTGTTTGGAAGAATTCGCTTTAACCTGTTCTTTTAAAAAACTTCTTTTGTTTGTTTTTGGATCACATCCTGTCACATTCTGGGGTTATTCCCAATTCTGTGCTTGATGGATCACTTCCAGTGGTGCTGCTCAAGGAACCAGTGAGTGGTGTTGGTACCGAACCTATGATTTCTGCATGCAGACTATGCAAAAGCACAGAGCCTTTTGAGCTCTCTCTCTGGCCCCCTAATCTGTAGTTCCTCTGGTGACAATAAACTGCTGAAGTTTGTATGGTAGTCTCTCTCTCTCTCTCTCTCTCTCTCTCTCTCTCTCTCTCATACACATATATACGTATGTGTATACACACATGTATATATGCACGACATTTTGAGGGGACAGACATGACTTATAAAAAGAATCAGATTCTTTTAAAAATATGATCTACTGGGATCGGCATGATAGTACAGTGGGGAGGGTGCTAACCTTCTATTCGGTCGACCCAGGTTCAGTTCCTGGCATCACTTATTATCCTCTGAGCACTGCCAGGAGTGATTCTTGAGTACAGAGCCAGCAGAACTCCTGAGCATCGCTGTGTGTGACCCACCCATATATATATATATATATACATATATATATATATATATATATAAACCAGTGTTCAAAATGTGTATACACACACACACACATTTTGAACATTGGCTTCCTTTATACCAAAAGCAAACATATATATGATGTCCTGGAGAGGTTTTGCTGAACTATGGAAATTTTCTCAGAAGTAACTTTAAGTCAAAGTCTCTGCAGATCATCAGACTACAACTTTCATCCAAACTGTATGGTGTCGGGGCCAGAGAGCTAGTCCAGTGGGTTGGGCACAGGCCTTGTAGGAGACCGACTTGGGATTGATTTCCGGCACCTTATCGAAGGGTTTCCTGAGCCTGCCAGGAGTGCAGAGCCAGGAGTAACCTCTGAGCATTGCTGGGTGTGACCGGGAAGGGAAAATAAAAGACCCAAAGAAAACCTAAACTATCTGGTCTGGGGTTCAGATTAAGCATCCTAAAACAGTGGCTTGAAAATAAAATAATTTTTTTTTTTTATGCTTTGGGAGTCAATTTTGGAACTCGGGCCTCCTGCATACCAAGTACATGCTCCAGCCCTGTGAGCAGTTTCCCTGGCCTAGAAGGTGTTTTCACAGTATTTACAAAATGTATCTATTACTCTTTTCCTAAGAGTGTTCCCTCACTTTACACACTGTTTTCCCTTTATTTTTGTTTGTCCCTTTCAATATTTGTAAGAGCTCTAGCTTATCTTTTCTTTTCTGTGAATATTTATGATTTTTGTTTTCCAGCTGCTTACCTCTCCTGATGTTCATCAAACTTGAAGCTGGGATCTAGCTCTTTAGAAATTTTCTACAGCACACAGAATGACATTTTCATAACAGTGAATCCTTAATTCCAAAACCAACTCGATCACTGTTGATGTGGTAGTTTATGAAAAACATCTGGTGGAGTTTGCTTCTTAGGATTTTTATTGCTTTTTATTGCTTTTTCTTGTTATTTTTACAAATAGAGGGACCCGGTTTGTGGGCTTTAGCTGTTCCTGTATGGTTCTTAGATGGTTACTGTGTGAATATCAACTAACTGCAAATTTACTCGAGCAATATTCTCTGGTTCCACGCAAGCATCATTCAAGCAGTTATCCTACTTCTTCGACCCATCCCACCTTTGAATTTTGTAATGAAATCTGTCTCTTTTTTTTTATTCTAAATAGCGAGGGAGATAAACCTGCAGGACATCAAGGAGGAGTCGGAACTGGATCCTGAGGAGAATAGCACCCTCTTCATGGGCATCCTCACCAAGGGGCTGGCCAAGCTGAAGAAGATCCCGGAGACCGTGAAGGCCATCAAGGAGCGCCTTGAGCAGGAGCTGAAGCAGATTGTGAAGCGGTCGACCACCCAGGTGGCAGACAGCGGCTACCAGAGGGGAGAGAACCTCACATCAGAGAACCAGCCACGGTGAGTGGGCTGGAGTCTGTGCTCCTTGATGCAGTTCATTGCAGGGTGCTCTTGGGGGGGGAATGGTGAGTACATGCCATTATTTGTTGCTAATGATTTTTTTTTTTTTTTTTTAAATATTTACTTGTTTGGAGGTTCTAGCAATTTACTTATTTTGGTTTTGGAGGCACAACCAGTGGTGTTTGGGGTCTACTCCTATCTTCATGCTGAGGAGTTGTTGCTGATACTTCTCGAACTTGGGGCACCATAGCCCTTATAGATGGATTTGTGGAAACAACGGGAATTTCTGATTTCTGATGTACCGAAGAAGTTATAAAGCAGCTGTCCATAGTCAGATGGAAAAACAGAGCAATGATATTGAATCGTTACTGAATATTAAGTATTCTAGGTAATTTATGCCCGTTTTTTTTTTCCATTTAATTCTCACTATAAACCAGAGAGCTACTTTCTAGTATTCACATTTTATTTGTTTACTAGTCTAATTATTGTAATTGTGACAACATGGTTAAAATAGTGGCAACAATTAGCACCCATATTTCATTTTAATGACTTTTTTTGGTCAAAAATATTTAGTCTTAACTACTTGATTGCATAATTGCACCTTTTTTCCTGTATTAAAATACTGCAAAATAACATGTATGTAATATATATAACAAATTAAACTAACAAGCAGTTATGTTTCAAAACAGTGATATATACATACCAAAATAAAATTACTGAATATAATTCAATACTTTCTCTCTCCTTCCTTCTTTCTTTCTCTTTCTTTCTTTCTTTCTTTCTTTCTTTCTTTCTTTCTTTCTATCTTTCTCTCTCTCTCTCTCTCTCTCTCTCTCTCTTTTCTTTTATTCTTTTTTGCTTTTTGGGTCATACCCGGCGATACACACAGGGGTTTCTCCTGGCTCTGCACTCAGAAATTACCCCTGGTGGTGCTCAGGGGACTATATGGGATGTTGGGAATTGAACCTGAGTTGGCCGCATGCAAGGCAAACACCCTACCCGCTGTGTTATTGCTCCAGCCTCCCTCCCTCCCTCCCTCCCTCCCTCCCTCCCTCCCTCCCTCCCTCCCTCCTTTCCTTTCCTTTCTTTCTAGATTATTTTTATTGAATTACTGTGAGATAGACCTTTATAACGTTGTTCATGATTGGGTTTCAGTCATACAGTGTTCCAACACCTATCCCTCCACCAGTATACATTTCCCAGCACCAGTGTCCCAAGTTTCCCTCCCATCACCCTCATCCCCCACCCCCTGCCTGCCTCTGTAGCAGGTGCTTTTCTTCTCTCTCTCTCTCTCTCTCTCTCTCTCTCTCTCTCTCTCTCTCCCTTCCTCCCTCTCTCCATTTGGCCATTATGGTTTGCAATACAGATACTGAAAGAATATTGTATATATTCCCTTTACCTACTTTTAACACTCATTCCTTGTCCAGCGTGATCTTTTCTAACAATTTATTTTAGTGACCATTTGTGAGGCCCCTTCTGACTATTCTCTGCTCCCTGTGTCCTGTGGGTCAGCACCAGGATGTGAGGCTGCTCAGTTCCTTTACCAGGCCACCCTGGTATTGTTCACGGGCCTCCTGGGCTTTTCCCTTTGATGCTTAAGGAACCATGCCATGCTGGGGCCCAAACTAGGGTTCATGCAAGGAAAGAACCGGAACTCCTGTATGGTTGTTCCAGTGTCTAGAATCCACTGTTGAAAATCAGGGCAGCTGGGGCCAAGAGGGTGTTTTGGTCCAGGTTGCATAAGAAGTTGCTGCTCAAGTCGCTCTTGGAGTTGGTGGAAGTCCATGGTCTTCCTCTGTCCATTTATTTTTTTCTCTTTAATTTTTTTGAGATCTGCCAGTAGGTCAACCAGTCTCAGGATTTCCGATAACTATTTAATTCGAATATCCCAAGTCTTCTTTCCTAAGATAGGGAGAACTGAATTGGTCCTCATCATTTTGTGATCATCAGACATTGGGAGAGCATATTTGCCAAACTGTACATTAGGGCATAAAAGTTTTATGTATCCAGAAAGCATTGATTATGCCTTTAAGCTCTTCAAACATCAATTTCCTTACGTTATTGAAAAAGAATGATGGAGCTTCCCCTCCTGCCTTGGCGCCAAATACCGCAGGGTGTGTGTTATGATGAGCTGGCGTTTATGGTTTCAATTATGTATTTGTGGTGCCCGGGATTGAACCCTGGCACGTGCTCTACCACTGAGTCAGCTCTCTGGTCCAAGCATAGGCTTTAGTCAGGGTCAAGGGGACTTGTCCCTGACTGCCAGTTTTCTAATATGAAAGAAATAATACCTGCCCTATAGGGGTGCCGTCTTGGGAAGAGGGTTCTTAGAGTCAGTGCTCAGTAGACCAGCAGAGGCGAGAACTGGTGTGTTCGTGCGTGAGCCCGTGAAGACGTGCTTGTTCCTGCTCGTTCCTTCCTCAGCTTCATGTTCTTTGATCGCCCGCCTTGTGACTGAAGAAGCTGGCGGACGGTTCTAAATTTTTTTTTCTCTTTTCTTTGCCAATGCCCGAATTTCCTCAAGGACCTCTTGACTCCTCACTAATGAACACTCCAAAGTTCTGGTTTGCTCTTTGCACTGTTACTGCCGGTCTCAGGATGAATCCACTGCACTTTCACAGGGAAATCACATGTCTGTGGCATGTATTGGAAATAAAGCGAAAGGGCACGCGTGGATCAATAACCTGGCTGCAGATTTCATTATGCCACCCTTAAAAGCAGTATGTCTCTCAAAGGATGTGGCCCTCTTCCACTGGCATCCTTGGGGCCCCTTCCCGAATTGGGGTGTCGAGATGGTATCACTCACAGTAGAACTGTAGCCTGTGTGCCGCCCCGGAAGGCAATGAGTGTTTCTCTTGGAGGAATGAGCCCACTGCACGGATTCTTTCCCATCTTTTTAAGCTTCATTTTTGGCCTGTGCTCATGTTGGGGATGAGGAAGTGCACACGCTACTGTGAATCCGCTTTAACAAACTGTACACACCTTAATATTTCGGCCGGGACTTGTTATCGTGAGACGAAATAGTATAGAGGAAACCTGTGTGTGGGGGTGAACCATTCCTTTTGAAGACCAAAGATGAAATTATTGGCTTGGGTTACCGAATGACTGCAGAATTTTAGCTCATCTCTTAGGGGCTTTTTTTTTTTTTTGCTATCATCAAGCGCATTAACAGTGTTACTCAAGACTTCCCTGGAAGTTTCATTGAACATGATCGCTGCTTCTGGAGGCTCAGAATTTTAGAGGAGAACTGATTATTCCTTGAAGCTTGCTTGTTGCTCTCTATGTATTGACTTTACTGGGAGGCGGGAAGGTTTAGGGGATGTTTATTTCGGAGAGAAGTAAGATCACAATACCATTATCACTGCACCATCATCACCGTGATTATTCAAGGAATTCATGGTAAAGTTGAAACATAGGTCAAGAATGATGCATTGCCTCTGCCCCCACATACGGTCGTCTCTCCATACCACCACAGAAAAAGACCTCGTGCAGATTAGTAGCATTTAAAGGGAGGATTCTGGTACTGCAGCCTTCCCTAGAAGGGTCGCTGCTCAGCTTCCTCTTATTAAATAGATTTTGCTCGTGATGCATTGCAGGCCGGTTTTCATTTGTCTTTACGTAAGTAGAATCAGTGTCGTGTGCTCTTCTGCTCGGAAAGTAGAAGGAACAAGTATTGCGGATTCTCGTCACTTCCTCCAGAGCCGGGTGTTTTCACCGCCAGTTTAAAAAAAAAACATCACTTTGGTGACCCACTTGTTATTTTGTTTTTGACCTCAAGCTATCTCTTGTCTATTTATAGGAGAAATATTTTTCTTTCGTTCATTCATAGTCTAGTGTCTGCAAGCCACTGCTTCCTATTGAAGGAAAATATTCAACACCCGTTGCTGCCAGCCCGATAACCATTAGGGGAAGATGTGTTGTGCTAATCTCACAGAACCACCCTGTGCCCTGGAAAGACAGCCTGTGTCGTCCATTCCTGACGGCTGCTGGGGCCTGCAGTTTGTGCAGACCAGGGCCATTGTTTTTCACAATCACTGCCCAGTCATTCTTTCCTGTGATTGAGCTGGGGACTACGTCCCCCCTGCCTCGGCTTCAAAGGAGCGAGAAGTTCACTAACAGTACAGGAAAGCATGAGGAATGGGTCTTCTCCAAGGGGTGACATGCTTAGAGAAGACTGAAGGAAGAGGAGGATGGCAGGTGAGAGGCAGCGCTGCAGCTATGGGAAAACTGTCTTGGTGAATCAGGAGGTCGCCAGTTCGGTGCTGGGCAAAGTGCTACCCTCCTGCTCCCCTTCAGTGACTTTGGCGGTGACCAAGGATTGAATGAGCTGAAGTGCTGGCAGCTGGTGAGACCGTTTTCTCTTTTGGAGTAAAGCCATTTTTTTATGGTCTTTGACTTGTTTGTTTGTGAACCAAGGAAGCAGGAAGACGACTTGTCTGATCGCCAAGGCAGGGAACATCGCACATTCTCTGCTGATGGTGAGACTGAAGGAAGATCCATGAGAAATATTGGAAAGAAATAGACTTTAAGACTGTGTTTGGGTTTAAGTGGAATTTATTTAAAAAAATTAATTTACATTGTGTCTCCAGTTCTTTTCATCAGATAAAAGTACTGGGTAGTGAAAATACCTACTGGGAATGTCAGCGTGGAAAATAATAGTTCTTTGTAGACCACCTGGATCATGCCTATTAAATTTATTTTTATGAAGTGTGAGTATGTTTAAGGCTATGTGTGGAGGTATGTTTGTGTGCCACCCTGTGGATGTATGTGTGTGTGGGGGAGTGTTTGTATTTGCATGTGCTTGGTTTTATTTGTTTGTTTTGACTACTTTAGGATAGAAGACTCAGGAGAGAATCTCTTTGCATTGTTTAGAGCCATATTTCCAAATTTAGCATGGTCCCCACCTGGCCCATGATGAATATTTGTTGATATAATAAATTCTTCTTCATGGAACATATTTGGGCTGAAATGTCAAACACAATCCAATGCTGCCCCTCTTT